ATAATGGAGAAAATGAGAAAAGAGGAATTTATTTTCTATACAGCAATATAGATGATAAAGACCCATATAGTACCAGCCCACCCTATTATAAAAGTAACTATTTGAAATTTAATATTTATCCACACCTTTCAATTAAGGGGAAAATGTATTAAGGCCTCTAAAAAATAAAGTGATTGTGACCCAGCCCCTCAATGTTTTTCCCATGTGCTTTAACCCCAAAAAATATGATCTGACCCCTTTCACACTCTTCCAAGAATTAATCCCAACAGCTTTCTAAAAATACCCTTTCTCCTTTTCTTCTTCTTTTCCTATGTGTCTTTCTCCTCCTCCTCTCCCCCTCATTTCTCCTCTTCTTCTCTCCTCCTCCTCTCCCCCCTCTCTTCTCTTGTAAGAGTCAAAGATGAGAAGTTGGTAGAGTGATTACTCCTTGTTGGAGCCCGTCAGTGAGTCTCGAATGCCCTCGCCATCGAACACGCTGGTCGTAAGGGAGGTGACCAGATCGCTGGGCCTCGAAGTATATAAGACTTTTTGATAGGGCGTCCTTGTAATCAAATGAGGATGCAGGAGCGAGAAATGAGAGAACAGATGCAACTGCAATGAAGATTGAAGGGAGCCCATTTCTCTCCATTCTGATCAGTTTTAGTCACTGTTAATGCTACTGTTGGAAGAAGCAGAGGAGATGAAGAGAGGGTAATGTAATTGTAAAAATATGTGGTCTTCACATGGGGAATAAAAGAGAGAGGAAGGCAATAAATCTATCACTTTCAGCCCTTAGGGATGTTATTAGTGCACTCCAAAGTAGAAAGTCTCATGTTCCTTACAAGTACATTTAATGGAAACTTTTAGGTAGAAATTAATTGTGTCCCTCCAAAAACCAAATAATTTGGGTTTCCCACATTTCACAGGAATAGTAAGCTTACACAAGTTCTTAGAGATTCCCTTGGTAAGTATGCTATTTCTCTAAACGATATCTTTCTTGTTTTATTCCTATAACATATTTGGTAGCAACTGAAGTTTCAGGTATCACTATACATGGTTTCAGGATCAGATTCAAAATCCTTGATGCTTGTCCATGTGAGCCCCAAAGAAGAAGATATGTGTGAAACCATATGTCCTCTTGGTTTTAGAACAAGAGTTAGAAGCATCCATATTGGGAGTGAATTTGGTTGCTTGCGGCGCTCAAGCTCCTCTTGAGGTTGCTGTGATTTTTTTTGATTAGCAGTATGTTTTCAGATTATGGAGCGTTTGGTTGCTTGCACTTGAGTCAATTCTTTAGTGATTTGTGGTGAGGTTTGTACAAGATATGATAGTAAAGAACATATATAGTAGAGTTCTATTTGTGAGAATTGAGCGAGCTTCTTGCTTCTTGTGATTTCTATTTGATTTTTAAGAATTGTGAAACCTTTGGATTAATCACGTGGAGCACTAAGTTGATTTTGAAAATACATTATATTTTTGCACCCGAATCTGAGTATTTCTGTTGATAGTGAAGATGATTTGAAGTGCACGATAGAGCATAATCGAAACAGTGGTTTTATGGAGATTCATATGCAAGTTGTTGTTAATATAGAGAGTTCTATTTTTAAAAAATTCAGAAAGTTATAACTGAAATGTAATCAATAAATTGACTTTGTGTTATGTTAGTTTTGTGATTTTAGATTCCACAGCATAAACAAATCGTAAATATTAACTTTAACGGTTACATGTTAACTCTTCCTGTCGTGTGTTAAATATCATAGTTATGTGTTAACTTTTATCAGAACATATTAACTATAATAGTTATATGTTACCTTTTAACTGAACGTGTTAACTTTCCTCCTAGTCTGTTAACTTTTCATACCGAATATTAACTTTCACTGCTTTATGTTAACTTTAATACAAACCTGTTAACTTTCACTATTTTATTTTTGTAGAAACGTTTAAAAAAAGCTATGACCAAGTCTTTTATCTCATCATAGATTATGAGAAGCGAAGTGTGTCAAGAGATAGAATCGAGATATTGCCACCAATTACTACTAAAAGAAAGTGAAGAAATAGAACTAGACGTTAGTTAGTGAGTTCTATTTTAGAACTGATATTGTTGTTAATATAAAAAGTGAAGAAATAGAACTAGACGTTAGTTAGTGAGTTCTATTTTAGAACTGATATTGTTGTTAATATAAAGAGTTCTATTTAAAAAAATCAGAAACGTTAGTGAGTTCTATTTTAGAACTGATATTGTTGTTAATATAAAGAGTTCTATTTAAAAAAATCAGAAACTTCTAACTGAAATAAGTAATTAATAAACTCTTTTTAAAAATTAGCTTTGTGTGATGTTAGTTTTGTGATTTCAAATTCCACAACATAAACAAAACATAAATATTAACTTTAACAGTTACATGTTAACTCTTCCTGTCGTGTGTTAAGTATCATAGCTATGTGTTAAGAGATGAAATCATGTATTCAAATAATATCAGCTATAAGAAAGTTAACATATTCAGTTGAAAGTTAACATGTTCAGTTGAAAGTTAACATGTTCAGATAAAGTCATATTATGGTAAATTTTTAACATGTTCAATTGAAAGTTAACATGTTCAGTTGAAAGTTAACATATTATGAAGAAAGTTAACATATTATGGTGAAAGTTAACATGTAATAGTGAAGGTTAACATATTATGATGAAAGTTAACATGTTCACCTGATAGTTAACATGTTATGAAGAAAGTTAACATATTAGTATGAAAGTTAACATGTAACAGTAAAAATTAACATATTATGATGAACGTTAACATATTCAGCTAAAAAGTTAACATGTTATGAGGAGAGTTAACATATAATAATGAAAGTTAACATGTAACAGTGAAAGTTAACATATTATGATGAACGTTAATATGTTCACTGAAAAGTTTACATGTTATAAGGAGAGTTAACATATAATGATAAAAGTTGACATGTAATAGTTAAAGTTAACATATTACGATGAAAGTTAACATCTTCATATTAAAATTAACATGTTATGAAGAAAGTTGATTAAAGTTAACATATTACGATGAAAGTTAACATCTTCATATTAAAATTAACATGTTATGAAGAAAGTTGACATGTTCATGTAAAAGATAACTTATTTTAACATCTTCATATTAAAATTAACATGTTATGAAGAAAGTTGACATGTTCATGTAAAAGATAACTTATTTAGCTGAAAGATAACATAGCCAAATGAAAGGTAACATGTTTAACAGAAAGTTATCCAGCTGAAATTAATTATAAAACCTCTTACATTCTTGCAAGTGATATTGCTTGGTAGTTGGTACACAATATGATTATTCTTACAAAGTCACAGATTACAACTTCGATAAAAATGACATGACTTAATAATTGAGAAATGTATAACCTAACATATGACTTAATAATTCAACTTATCAATACTTTACTCCGGTTCAAGAACTAAAAGTCGCTTCATCTCGGTTCCCCTCAAACCTCACGAAACCGCAATAAAAACTTTCAAGTGAAATTTTAAGTATGACTATGCAAAACAAACATCACATTCTTCTAATTATGTAACTTTATTCTCAGAACACCTCTTTTGGTGGTCGTCGTTTGATACAAAATCAATTATAGGCAACCACCCAGCTACTACTATGTTTTCAATCAGCTGCATCATGACTTAGTATGTATGAAGAAATTGTTGTTGATAACAAGCTTCTGAAGTGCAGAGAAACTGCCAATCGAAGCGTTGGATAAACTAATTTGCCCTAAATTTGAAGAACCCAAACCATCTTTTGTTCTTGAAATCTCGCCAGTTAACAAATTATCCTGTAATTCAATCTGGACTATATTTGGTAAGCTAAACAAACCATCACGAATAGAATCATTCAAATAATTATTCTCCCAAGATTTTTAGGAATACTCCCAGTAAAATTATTCTCCCAAAGCTGCAGCACTTCAAGCTCTGGCAAGTCTCCGATAAACTCAGGAATCACTTCGGTTAACTTATTCCTTAACAAATTCAACATGGTAAGGTTCTTGAGCTTCGAAAATCCCACAGGGATCTCACTAGCGAGTGCGTTGTTGGAAAGATCCAGCGACTTCAAACTCTGCAGCTCTCCCAACTCCGGCGTGATCTCGCCGGAGATACCGTTATCTTGCAAAAACAAAGTATCGAGGTTCTTCAACTTCCCAATCTCCGACGGAATCTCACCGGTCAAGCCACAATTCACCGCATCGAATCGAACAAAGATTCGACAAGTTTCCAATCTCAGTAGGGATCCCGCCGCTATAATCATTGAAATACCCTAAATAAAGCTCCTTTAAACTGCTCAAATCTCCAATCTCCTTCAGGATCGAACCCCTAAGCTCATTACCAGAAACAATGAAGTATTCTAAAGATTTCATGTGGCCGTACACTTTGGGGATCTCGTCGGAGAAGAAGTTACCGCCGAGATGAAGGTGCCGGAGGGCAGTGAGGTTGGCAATCTCCGACGGCAGAGCTCCGCTGAGGTTGTTGCCGTAGAGATCGAGGACGACGAGGTGCTTGAGGGTGGAGATTGAAGAGGGGGAGAGGAGTTGAAGAGGTTGTTTGAGAGGTTGAGGTGGTGGGAGGAATCAGTGACGGTGGCGACTTCTTCTCGTCGCCGCCTCCGCCTAATTTGACGGTGGTTTGAGGAAGTTTGAGCGTGAGAAGAGAGGAGAGAGAGAGGGCAGACAAGTTTTGATGGGAAAGGAGTTGATGGTATTTTAGGGTATTCCTAAATATTAGCTCACTTTGTTGTCTTGGAAAAGAAAAGAGGGGCGGAAACACAAGTACTTTATGGGTTGGGGGCTTTGTCACACAAAAAATAATTAGGGGACCTGGTCACAATCACTTTATTTTTCGGGGCCTTAATATAATTTTCCCTTCAATTAAAGTTTATAAATCACAGAAAAATAATGTAAATAAATTGCCGTCTTGAATTATTAAGGAAAAGCCTCCAAAAGCCTTGGACAATATTTAGTTTGAAAAACCCCCCGGCCTTCAGCTTCGAGTACACGGCCTTTTCGTTCATAAACCCAAAGTTTTATACCCTACTGATGTATTTTGTCCCCCCTACATCCGAAATTTATGGCACGGCACCTACCTAGCTCACGAATCCTCCCCTGTCGCCCCCTCCTCACCCTGTCCATCGAATTCTACTCCTAGATTCCTCCGTTCAACCCCCACCCAGTAAAAAGCGGTGGTGTGGTCCGTCATGTGGCGTTACAGGCTAAACAAATTGGCGGCGGGGGTTGGGATTGGGATTGGGGCTGGGGTTGGGATTGGGATTGGGGGGGCAGCTGCTTCTTCTATCGCCGCCACTTCCTCGGACGATCCCCCGACTACTTCGCTTAAGATCCTCACTATCCTTCCTCTCCGTCTCCTCCGTGATTCCCTTACTGCCGCTGCTATCGCCTTGGGTTAGCTAGTTACTTGTTTGTTTCGGATCTTGGCTGGGACCCAGGGTTGTTCTCCAGAAAACAACCCCCATCCCTCCCTTTACCTCATCATTTTCTTTCCTTCTTTCTTTAAACTTGTAGACTATGAATATTCAATGTGGGGATTCCAGGAAGGAACAATTGAGTGGTCTAAAGCAAAGCATCAAGTCCATAGCAGATGTGCTCGTAGGATCCAAGAGCTATGCTTTCGCAACGGCGGAATTTATATCAAGCTTGGTCAATATATTAGTCAATTGGTAATTAAGCTCCTTTCTAGGTAGTTAGATCATCTCATTTTCTGCATGCCATCTTTACTGTCAATAGATAGATGAAAAGGTTTAATTCAAATTTCTTCCTTCGTTGGAAATTTATATACATGCATACATAAAAAAAGTGGTCGTCTAGGGACACACTCTAGATGGCTATAAAATTACAAACAAATATAAAATATCGAAAGGACACGTGGAAAACTGTCAACCTGTATGTGTGTGTGTGTGTGTCATTTTGCTTAATTTCAGTCTATACCCCCTGTTTTCCTCTGTTATTCTGAGGATAGAGCCTTACTTGTTAGGTTTATTGCGTTATATGCATTCAAATCTGTGTGAGAAAACAGATGCATATCATTTCTATTTGATGAAACCGCCACGTAGTACAATCAACACACAATATGATTTAGGGAAACGATTGTTTCATACTAAATTCTAGGAAGGTATAAACATTTCCCTGTGTTTACTTCTGTTGTCCATGCTTTATTATTGTTATTATTATTATTATTATTATTTTGGTGAAGTTTTTAGCTTACATTTTTGTTGGTGGGAAAGTATGAAATAATTAATGGCCTACCTACAGGCAAACTAGATTGTTGATTCAGTTGAAGCGAAACTCGTCAAGTGCGTGTAGGAGTTGATAAGTCTGGTTTCTCCCTTTTTTTTAGATGGTTAAGAGTAAATTACAGATTCTTGAGTTATAGATTCTTGTATAGTATTGTGAATGGAACCAGATTGTATTGGATGCCATTTGAGGATTCATTTTCCTTTTCATGTGCTCAATATTCGTTTTATTTCCTTGTAAAGTTAACCGGGCATAAGAAGGGTTTGAGTGCAATGTTACTTTTGTTACTTTTTTGCCTTTTCTGTTTCTCCATTGGTTTCTGAAAGAAAATTTCCTACATGTTAGTTCCTTTTTTTAAGTGCCTTTAAATTGCACAAGCTTATTACATTAACTTTCATCTTGTCTCTGATTCAGTTAGTTTTCTTTTTTCAGGACTACATAGTTCCTCAGGAATACATACAAATAATGAGGGCCTCATTGCTGAAGAGATGTCCAGTTTCCTCGTATGATCAAGTGCGCCAGGTGTTCATAATGGAGCTTGGAAGTCCTCCCGAGGAAGTATATAAGCCTAATTTCCTGTTGCAAGTTTATGTTAGCTTATAAATAAAAATGACTAGATATACTCATAATTTATGTGGGATTAACCTAATGCGTCTTCCGATGGAGAAGATTCCTGCTCCTCACAATTTTTAGCCATTATATTTATCGTTGTATGGCCAAGAAAAAAAAAATAGAAGTGTTATATCATCATCCCACAAAATGAAAGCATGATCTTATCTCACTCCTCAATACATTGGACACTTGCAAGTGCGTATAGTTTTTTTATCATACAAAAAATAGATGAGCCTAATCTCCTGTTGCAAATTTATGTTATCTTATGAACTAAAATGGCTACATATACTCATAATATATGTGGGATCATTCTATGTGTATTCCGATGGAGAAGATTCCCGCTCCTCACTCTTTTTTAGCCATTATATTTATCGTTGTATGGCGAAGAAAAAAAAAGAAGTCTTATATCATCGTCCCACAAAATTTAAGCACGATCTTATCTCACTCCTTAATACATGGGACAATTGCAAGTGCATGTAATTTTTTATCACATGAAAAACATCTATAGGATGAAGTATGTTACATTTTTTTTCCAACAAATATAATTGTTTTAGATATCATTTGCACTTTTATGTTCTTGTGTATATGAAAAACGTAATGTTCATTTGATATAAAAATATATACATAATTAGGAAAGGATTGTTTATAACCATGTCTTTTTGTCTAGATTTTGGGAAATTCTTTGACTGGTATCCTCCGTAGTATTAGAGTATGACTGGTGTGTCTGAATTTGCAGATCACAACTTTCTAGTATATGTCAATCGTGAAACAAACATTGCAATTAGAAAATGTCTTCTCCAGCACCTTTATGAAAAAAATGAATCATTTTTCTCGTTTACTAATACACTTCAGCTAACAAGTTTCTGAAATTCAACTTATTATTTTGCACAATTAAGCTTTCTGTATTGATTAAAAAATTTTGATTCTCAGATATTCAAGGAATTTGATCCTGTACCTCTGGCAAGTGCTTCCATTGCGCAAGTGCATGCTGCTCGGACTCATGATGGGAAAAGAGTAGCTGTGAAGGTTAGTAACTATACTATAGTTATCACATCTTCTGTTATCGAGGATGGTGTTATCACTTAGTATTTCTAATATCTTTTTGGACCTATTTTTTCTCAATATTCCTATGGGCATGACTTATCCTGATATCCAGGTTCAACATGTGCACTTGACTGATACCGCTGCCACAGATATTGCTACTGTGGATTTGATTGTGAACTTCTTGCACTGGTGTTTCCCTGCATTTGATTATAGGTATTGCTTTAGGTGGCCTTTTTTTAATCCAGAGTTGTCCTAAAAAAATTTATCTCAGTCAAAATAAGGGACATTCATTGATGTTGGAGGAAGGATTCAGTCAGAATCACATAAAGGTTAAAATTGTTTTTCACATATTTCAACCAGTGAAAAATCCTGAGATTACTTTAATAATGCTCGAGCAAGATTAGATTAGTAACCTGTTCATAAGGAAATGCATACAAAGTTTTCAAAGTTGTGTTTATTGATAATAAAACCAGAGAAATTTGAGGAATGGATTCTGTTGATAAGATCTAAAGCTCTATTAACATTTTAAAGTATATAGAAAGCAGAAAGCTCAGGTTTTACCATCTTACCTTGGTAGTTTCTTATAGTTGATTTTTCAAGAAAAGGAAGTTGATTGTCCGAAGGAACAAGGCACCTAGCCTTGGGTAGTAATCTTCAGCTCTTAATTATTTTCTTTGTCGACCTTTTCTCCTCTCATATGATTGGTTTACACAGATGATAGGTTTTCAAATCCATCAAGCTACTGATTACATGAGAAAGAATAAAATATTGTTGACATTTTATGATTTTGGGGTAACTGATGTAAAATATACATTTGGTAACTAGTTGTTAACTATTAAATAGAAGGTGTAGGGGCTGACTACCTGGATGAAAGAACTTTAATTGGGAACTCATAATGAAGTTGTAATTGATGGTTACTACGTGTAAAGAGTTTTCTCAATGAAACATTAGAAAGAAAATGGTTTTCAGCTGAAAAAACTCATGAAATGTAAGCATTGTAACTTCATGTGAAAATGGATTTAGTTAAGTCTTAAGACGACCTGAACGGCTAAATCACACTTGTTTGGCCTCTGGACTACTTTTATTAATGAATCTAAGAATTTCGACAAATCAAGGTTGTTTGACATTCTACATGTATTAACTATAGTTGTATTAGAGTATACCTTTAAAAGTCCATTCTTTTAATGCAGGTGGTTAGTTGATGAAATACGTGAGAGTGCACCTAAGGTAAGCTTTCTTTATTATCTTAACTGTTGCTTCAATATTTCTACAATCTATAATATTTTGACTGTTATCCAATACTTTTTTTTATAAGAATAAGATGGCCCTATAAGTTTAAAATAACTGGAAAGCAATGAACATATGCATATAACATGAATACTTTATACGTACGTCATATTATGAAGCACATATTGTGATGTATGAATGAAGAAGATGCAGTGACAGTGGGCCAGAGTACTTTCAGTAACTAGGAAGGAAATTTAAGTGACCCTAGTGGCCTTGTCTTGTCTTTCTAATGCATTGTATTAGTTATTATTGATCTTCATGTCATTTTGATGCACCTGTTGGAGATTGAGTTGCTAGGAGTATGTAGAAAGTGAACTATCTGTCACTACAGTTTTCTTATATGATTTTAAATCTGTGTATAGAGTCGTGGATCCTGATATGACAAAAAGACCTTTCTGGCAGATTTGCATGCTTTACTGTCACAGATAGGCTGTTCATGCATCAATAACTGCTTTGAGATGAGGCTTACTTTCCAAGCTTTTTTTTAGGTCTTAGGGGGCACAAGGCTTTTGTTCAGAAAGCTTACAACGAACATCCTCAGGTGTTCTTGCAATAGTCCCTACTCATTTTCTTAGGAAGGGCTGTCAGGGTTAACCTTTCTTGTGCTGTGAACAATCTAAGGAGCCCATGTTGGAGAATATTCCTATAATGCAGGACAAATATGCACTCTGTGGAATTTTCCAAATTACCTCTTGATAAGGGGATGATTCTTTTTCTCATTAATTTTATTATAAGGGTTGATCCTGATTATAGACACCATGTACATTATTGAGGACCCCATGAGAACTAAGGAAGGTTGAAGAACAAAATTGAGGAATTATTAGTTGAAGGTTAAGTTTGAAGGTTAATTATGCTTGGTTTGTCACCTGGAGTTGCACCAAACTTGTGTGTGAAGAAGGATGAAGGGGCTCACATTTATCAGTTTTAGGAAAGCAAGATGACTGTGCTTTTATCCTCTATAGCTGATAGATGATATATTTCACCACTTGGAAAGTGTGATATCTGTTCTAGAAGATGAGACTCCCACCAAACTCACAGGCCCACCTCCCTTCAATCACTATTCACTACCCTCCATCTGTGCAGCACCAAGGTTTGGGATGTCCTTAATACAACATTCCAGATGAGATAAGTTCATGCTGATACTATTCTGGTTGGCCAGTGCATTTCTTTTGTGAAATTGATTAGTATACTATACCGTTTTATAGTCTTTAGACATTATCTTAAGGATATAATCTGTCTGTAGTGGTGGTCGTTTATGAAAAGGAGATGATACGTTCAGTTTAAAGTAACTCACCTTGCTTATATTGATTGCCAAATCTAAGAAAGACAAAATTAGCATTGATACCTCCGGTTTTGCATAGCGATGGTTTTAAGACTGTTACATTACCATTTTTCTGAAACCATAATCTTGCTTAACTTCCTTATCCTGAAAGGTCATCAATTTTCTGTCATGCCAAATTGCTCAGACTCCAATTCTTCAACAGGTGTCATCAATTTCCTATCGTGCCAAAAAGTTCAGACTCCAACAGGTCTCAGTATCATCATGAATAAGTGTAATTATATCTTCAAAAGCATGCAAAGTAATCCTCCTCACCATGATCTTCACAAGTGTATATCACTTATTATGCTCCCGTTCCTAAATCAGAAGCATCTCTTATTGTTTATATCCGTGTTGTGAAGATAATGTTGCTACTTTCACTGATAACTTTCGTTTACTCTTTAAGGCCTTTTATATCACTAAAATTGATATGAAATTATGAATAAAGAAATACTTACGTTGGCTAACCAATAATTTACATTGGAAGTTACTTTGACTAAATATGGACTACATCTTTGATCATTATACTTAATCAGTTAGTGTCATTATTTCCAGGAATTAGATTTCTTGTATGAGGCTAGAAACAGCGAGAAATGTTTGGAGAACTTTAGGAGGTTATCTCCTCAAATTGCAGATGCCATATATGCACCCAAGATTTATTGGGATCTGAGTACATCAAAACTTTTGACCATGGAATTTATGGATGCTGCGGAAATAAGTGATGTGAGTGCTATTCAGGGATATGGAATTCAACCTCTTGAGGTTTCTAAGCTAGTACGTTCATCATATTGACCATATTTCATATTATTATGATCTTGGTCTATCGTGTCTCTCCATTATCACTTTGTTTCTGTAAAAAAAACTTTACAGGTTAGCCAAGCTTTTGCAGAGATGATCTTTAGGCATGGATTTGTTCACTGTGACCCACATGCTGCCAACATGATGGTGCGGCCTTTGCCATCGAGAAAAGGGAACATTTTTGGTAGGAAATTTGTTCTAACCTTTGTTATTTGCTTTCACCTTCCTGTATAAGCTTATGCAAATTTATTGATAAAGTTATTCAAATTTGTTGATAAAATTATTACAAATGGTTTCAATTTTAGTTTTGATAAACTTATTCTGCATATATGTTTAGAAATTTATAGAAATATGGTATCCCTAAGGTGTAGGGGTTCATTTGCCCTTGTGCATCGAAGTTCTCTAACCCATAATAGTAACGATTCGGGTTTGGGCCCCCATATGAGTAGGGCTGAGAATTGCAGTTAGTGTCAACCTGACCTCAGTTTGCAATGGGATTTTCTGGCTCAATCCCAGTGCAACTATGTAAAATAATTCTATTTCTACTGCATTTCACTATGTCAGTTGGCGAATTCAACCTGGCTTGCAATCCTCAGCCTACAATTCTTCAATGACTAGCACACATAAACCAGAATTAATGTTATCATTGATCTTAGAACTTGCAAAAGAAGATGCTGCAAATTGTTCCGTTTAGTTTTAATCCACCTTCCATTAGCGTGTATGGATGTTTACTTCGATTTTCTTTGTGCAGTTGTGTCTGTCTGCATGCATATGTGTGTGTATACCAATTAGGACCTGCTAACTGAGAGAAGCCTGGTGAAAACAGTTCAACCCTGTTGGAGCAAGCATTGAGCTGACCTCTTATAGTTTTTTTGGGACTCAGTTCTAGCTTCTTCACATGATTTCCAGTCGTGATTGGTTGGGCTCGAAGTACTTGTTCTGATGACATATAAGTTATATGCCTATAAGCTTATACAACCCAAACTCTTGAGTCTTAAGTTCACAAAACAAATAGATTAACATTATCCCTGCTGTCAGACATGTCTATAGTTTATGTACTATGCATGTGGTAGTCAACTGGTTCATACAAGGCACTGAATCTCTTGCTATTTGCTGTGGCCTCTCTGCATACATACTACAAGAATGAAGTAAAATGTGTCAGAAAAGTTGGTAACAGACTTTTCTTCTTTTCCTCTTTTTGCTTTTTCCTGTATTTCTTTCCATGATCTAGTCTGAAATACCTTACCTCATTTTCGTACGTTTTTATACCTAAGGCAATTGGAAACATAAAATCTTACCAGTTACCACCAACAACCAGGTCAGCAATGCAAATGAACTTCTAAAAATGGGTTTGTCATCAGATGGGCCCGGTTATAGGGTGCTATAATGATACGGGTGTATCTTCTCTTCGGAACTTAGCGATCCTCATGGGAGCTCCATGAGCTTGAGGATAGATGATTTTCATGGTAGCTTGAGAATAGAGGTGTAAAACAACATAGTGAAACGCAGGTTGAAGCGTGAAACGAGACGGCGAATCAAAGAATCGAAGCATCTAGTTTTCAGCCCGTGAGTCGACTCATAACAGTCATGAGTCGACTCATCAGGTTGAGTCGACTTATGCCTGTCATAAGTCGACTCATGAAACTCAGCCGCTTTGTCAAAAAGTCTCTGACCAGTCGACTCATCATTGTATGAGTCGACCCATGTGTCATGAGTCGACTCACGAAGCCTAGCAGGTGTTGACATAGTTTCTGACCAGTCGATTCATGACTGTCATGAGTCGACCCATATGACATGAGTCGACTCATACATGCACGTGAGTCGACTCATCGATGATTTCCTGGTTCGTTTGGGTTTCTGTCTGCATGAATTTCTGTGGGGTTTGGACTTGGTTATTTACGACTTTGTCATCCACGTTGTTCCACATATAAAAGGGATTGTTTTAGGGTTTTAAAACAATCAGGAGAGATTAGATTGTATTGGGAGAATTGAGAGAGATTGTTCTTCAATTCTAGTGAGATTGTGAGAGATTGTAAGTTATTTTATTCTCATAATGATGGGGACATCCGGACGCGTACACGAGACTTTCGCCGAGTTTATCAGCACAGGAGGCGCCATGTTGCAGCATTATAGTTTTGATTTCAGTTGTAATAAATTAGTTTGAATTTTAAATTTTGAATTTCGAAATTTCGAAATTTGATTTTATTTGGTAGGTAATCAGCTGATTAGTTGTAACTGATTATGAGAGAGAGATTTGAGGGAATTAAGATATTCCAAATCTGTAATCCTACTTAAGAACTCTTGTATTCAGAAATTTGATTATTGAAGAATGAATGAAAATTACATTAGCTTAATTGTGGTGTGAAACCCTAAGCCTAATTTTCTGTTCACTGAACTCTTGTATTTAGAAATTTGATTATTGAAGAATGAATGGAAATTACATTAGCTTAATTGTGGTGTGAAACCCTAAGCCTAATTTTCTGTTCACTGTTCTCTTGTATTTAGAAATTTGATTATTGAAGAATGAATGGAAATTACATTAGCTTAATTGTGGTGTGAAACCCTAAGCCTAATTTTCTGCGTCCGCTCAGGCCGCCGCCGCCTTCACCCGCTCCGCCGCCCGCTTGGCCCTTCCCTCGGCCGCATCGTCCTCTTTTCCCTCTGAACGAACGAAGAGACCTTGGATTTGACTGAGTTTGTTCAGACTTTCTCCCCCCCAACTTATTTGTTGGTTTATTTTAGTTCAGATCCGAACCGGACCAAGTTGGTTCAGATCTGTTTCAGTTTGGGCTCATTTGTATGTCAGATCTGCTGAGACATCGAGATAGTCCGATTCTGTTGGCCATTGGTGCATGACTGATCCTGACGCTGAAGATCACGATCTTGTGCTTGATCCAGAAACTGGTATAGTGGATTTAGATCTTTCCCCATGGTTTGATTATCAGTCGTTCGAGAGCGTGCCCGAGTACGTCGAGCGTGTGACTCATCAGATTGTTGACAGCGTAGAGAGTAGCTTGGGAATCAGCTCGTAGCATCGGCGTTTCCATCCAGATACACCGCTCCATCCTAATTACGTCGCCCTCGGTGGAGAGCTTCCACCCTTCATATTTGGCGTCGTTGAACCACCTCCAGAGGATCCTCCCGTCGAGCCGGTACAATCCGACCAAGGTTTAATTTTCTTACGCCCAAGCACTTTTGGAACCGCTATTGCGTGCATATTATTATCAATTTTCGTATCAATTGCGATTATGCTGTATTCAGTTTGATTAGTGAGCGAGCGAATCTGTTACCAAGTATTTCTGCTTATCTAAATATTACAAATTGAACCATATTAAGAGAACGAATCATTACATTATTTATCAAAATAATTTTACAAAGGTTCAAACTTAGTACATTGCAAATTTTGCTCAAAACCCATCGTTCGCTTCATTTTATTCTTGAATTTCCTGATTAGACCGATCACATATTTGGTGAAGCATTGTTGTCGCTGATCTTGCACCTGCATATACATTGTTTCACATCTAGAGAATGTATTTTCCTTCGTCACCACTGAATTGTTCTTGTGTTCTTGTTATTTTCTTCTCAACCCACCTTTGATAATTCCATGATCAAAGGTGATCACACGACGACTCGTATCAAGTTGGTATCAGAGCTATCAGATCCTGTGAAGGGGGCATCTTGTGTGTGGTCCTGACTCGATCGCAATACAAGAAGCTAGGCGAGATCCTTATTTCATTGGAAGGAGTTCAGAAATTAAGGAAGAAGAAGATGACTGAAGGAGACAGTTTAGCAATGCTAGATGCATTGAAGAAGCAGATGGAGATAATGGGTTCAACCCTCGTGCAACTCGTCAATCTTGTCCAAGACAAAGGAAACAAGAAGGAATCTTCTTCGAAAGGCAAGAAGAAACTTGTGGAGTTCGATGGAGAAGGCGAGGATTCTGATTTAGATGAGGAGGCCCGTATTGTTAAGTCTGTTTCACACCAAGAGGGTAAGGGTTCTTATCAGAATTTAAAGATAGACTTTAAAGTGGAGATTCCTGTTTATGACGGGAGTGTCAACGTTAAGAGGCTTGATGATTGGATCGAGCGGATGAAGACCTATTTCACACTCTACGAATATTCATCTAAGGAGAAGCTCGTGTTCGCGATTTTGAAGCTTTCGGGACATGCATTGACATGATGGAAATCCTATTGCAAGCAGGAGAAAAAGACGATATCGTGAAACAAGTTCAAGGAACTACGTAGGAAGCAATTCTATCCGGTAGGGTTCCTCGAAGAGCGTTGGTACAAGTGATACGGGTTGCGCCAACGGTTCAACCAGACCGTTCAAGAGTATACGACGGAGTTCCAGCAGCAGGCGATGGTCCTCAACATCGCAACAGAGGAATATTCCATTTTTATGAAGTATATGACGGGTCTGAACGAATATATCGGGAAGAAGATAAGGCTTTTCACAGTTAAGTCCATTACAGAGGCGAGTGTGAAGACCATTGTCATTGAGGGTAGGCAAAAAAAGGTTAACGAAACGAAGGGGGACTCCAAACAAACGGAAGGCAAGTCTAACGGCTCTCAACCTAAGGAAGAGAAGAAGAGTGACTCGGGAAAGGCATGATTGATATGCAATCACTGCAAATAGACATGATACGTTGCTGATCGTTGTTGGGAGAAGTATCATCATCTGAAGCCAAAGAGATTGAAGAAAAAGGAGGAGAAGAAAGCATACGTGGTAGCGCAAGGTCCGAAGGAAGTTCCCGGGATGACAGCACCCAATAGCAGTCTCAACCTTATGGCGCGGAAGCAGAACACGACAGAGGATGAAGACCCGAGCAACTCTTTGTTTTGAAACTACAGATTAAGACCAGTTTAGTTGATGCTATAGTGGATCCAGAGAGCCAGAAGAATTTGATATCTGAGACCTTGGTTCAAAAGCTGGGATTGAAGACGGTTAAACATCCGAAACCCTATCCTTTAGGGTGGATTCAGAAGGAGACGAGATTGAGTGTGGTCAACCAATGCACTTTCAGATTTGTGCTCCACGAGTCGTATATTGACGAGGTCACTTGCGATATCTTTCCGTTAGATGTTTGCCAAGTAATACTGGACAATCCTTATTTATGGGCTAAGTTTGCGGTCTACGATAGACGAGCCCAGAAGTATACGTTCACCAAAGATGGCGAGCAATTCATCTTTCGTTCGACATCTCTTTCACAGGAGATGAGTTTGGTGACAGTGACTCAGGCGAAGAGGCTAGTGAATGCGAGCAAGAGGTTCATATTGTTAGTCATTAGGTCTTATGAGGAGCAGCTGAGTAGGGTGTACTTAACTACTTTGAGCAAGTTTCAGGAGGGCGAGCTTGACAGGTTGAAGGCTAAGTACGTGGACTTGTTTTTAGAGATCACGGGACTATCACAACGACGGGGTGTGGAGCATGAGATTATGTTGACCGGCGAGAGTTCTTTGCCGAATATAGGTCTATACCGCACATCTGTAGAGGAGCCTGAGGAGATCAAGAGGTAGGTTCAGGAGCTTTTGGAGACAAGAGTGATTGTGCTGAGTTGTTCCCCTTGCGGGTCTCCAATATTGTTGGTGTCTAAAAAGGATGGAGGTTGGCGCATGTGCGTGGATTATCGGGCACTCAACAAGATATCCATTAAGAATCGCTATCCATTATCACGGATTGACGATCTCATGGATCAGTTGGAGGGAGCGAGGTTCTTCACGAAGTTGGATTTGAAGTCTGGCTACCATCAGGTGAGGATTCGGGAGGATGACACTTGGAAGACTGCGTTCAAGACCAAGCAGGACCTATTCGAGTGGTTGGTGATGCCGTTTGGTTTGTGCAACGCTCCGGCTACCTTTATGAGGCTTATGAATGATTTGTTACGACCCTTTATAGAGGACTTTGTGATAGTTTACCTCGATGACATCTTGGTGTACAACAGGACCTGGGAGGAGCATCTTGTTCATGTTGAGAAAGTGTTTGAAGTGTTACAGAACGGACAGCTAAAGCTCAATGGGAAGAAATACGAGTTTGGGAAGGACGGGTTGGTGTATCTCGGCTTCATCGTGGGGAAGGGCCAGCGAATGATAGATCCAAGTAAGGTGGCGGTGATCACAAAATGGCCGACACCTAGGACAGTGACAGATGTGAGAAGCTTCATGGGGGCTTGTCAGTACTTGTGCAAGTTCATTCGATATTTTTTGACTTATGCGGCACCTTTGCATGGCCTTACGAAGGCGAAGGTTCAGTTCGTGTGGGATAGGGTGCATGAGGAAGCTTTTCAGCTACTGAAGAAGAAGATCTCGGAGGCACCGGTGTTACCTTTGCCGAATTTACAGAGGACCTTCGAGGTGGAGACCGACGCTTCTAGTTATGCTATGGGCCCTGTGTTGATTCAGGATGGTAAGCCGGTGGAGTACCATTCAGAGATGTTTACGGGTGCTATTCATGGATCTTCGGGGAAATTACCGTTTGAGACTTGTTATGGGTTTTTACCTCCGAGTCCGTTTGATCTCATGTTTTCAAGTGAAGTCCCTCCAACTGGTCCATAAGATCATCAATCCGCGGTAATGGGTAGCGATTCTTGATGGTTATCTTGTTAAGCGTCCGGTAATCCACGCACATGCGCCAGCCTCCATCCTTTTTGGGAACCAACAACACTGGTGACCCGCAAGGTGAACAACTCGGCATAATCACTCCCGTCTCCAAGAGCTCCTGAACCTGCTTCTTGATCTCCTCGGACTCCAGTACTGATGTGCGGTATAGGCCTATGTTAGGTAAGGAACTCTCCCCGGTCAACATAATCTCATGCTCTACACCTCGACGTGGCGGTAGTCCCGTGATCTCCGAAAACAAGTCCGCATACTTGACCTTCAACCTGTCAAGATCTCCCTCCTGGCGCTTGCTCAAGGTAGACAAGCACATCCTACTCAGCTGCTCTTCATACGGCCGAATGAACAATAAAACGAACTTCCTGCCCGCGTTTGAGACTTGTTATGGGTTTTTACCTCCGAGTCCGTTTGATCTCATGTTTTCAAGTGAAGCTACGGCCGACGACAAGGAAGGGAGTGAAAGACAACGAGCTCAGTGATTTTTAGAAAAAATTACACATATTCATGCCACGGTGGAAGCACAATTGAAGAAATCACAAGCCAAGTACAAGGCGAAGCATGATCAGCATCGGGTTCCTTGTAACTTTGGCATAAGCAACATGGTATGGCTGAAATTGAGTAAGGAGAGGCTAAAGGGATAAGGGAAGAAGTTGAAACCTATACGACATGGTCCGTTTCGGATTCTCGATCAGATTGGTGACAACGCTTTTAGGCTGGATTTACCACCTTACTTAGGCATATATTCGGTGATCAATGCCGAGCATTTGAAGTTGTTCGAGCCTCCATTGCTGGATGATGAAGGTGACGACAAGGTGATCTTACCGCATGTTGAAGACTTGTGGTTTGATAAAGAAGAGCCGCTGAAAGAAGATTGCATTTTGGAGCGGAAGACGACCACGACGAGGCGGGGGACGAAGGAGTCGTTTCTCATTGGATGTCAAGGTCAGGTTCCTAGCAAGGCTAAGTGGTTCAACAGGGAAGGAGGAGCTCGCGAGTTTTCTCAGCTGAAGTTCTAACTTGAACGAGACTTTAAGTTCCTAAATGAGGGACCCATGATACGGGTGTATCTTCTCTTCGGAACTTAGCAATCCTCATGAGAGCTTGAGGATAGATGATTCTTATGGTAGCTTGAGAATAGAGGTGTAAAATAGCACAGTGGAACGCAGGTTGAAGCGTGGAACGAGACGACGAATCAAAGAATCGAAGCATCTAGTTTTCAGCCCGTGAGTCGACTCACAACAGTCATGAGTTGACTCATCAGGTTGAGTCGACTCATGGCTATCATAAGTCGACTCATAAAACTCAGCCGTTTTGTCAAAAGTCTATGATCAGTCGACTCATCACTGTATGAGTCAACCCATGTGTCATGAGTCGACTCATGACTGTCATGAGTCGACTCACGAAGCCCAACAGGTGTTGACATAATTTCTGACCAGTCGACTCATGACTGTCATGAGTCGACCCATATGACATGAGTCGACTCATACATGCACGTGAGTCGACTCATCGATGGTTTCCTGGTTCGTTTGGGTTTCTGTCTCACGAATTTTTGTGGGGTTTGGACTTTGTTATTTACAACTTTGCCATCCACGTTGTTCCACATATAAAAGGGATTGTTTTAGGGTTTTAAAACAATCAAGAGAGATTAGATTGTATTGGGAGAATTGAGAGAGATTGTTCTTCAATTCTAGTGAGATTGTGAGAGATTGTAAGTTATTTTATTCTCATAATCTAGAGAATGTATTTTCCTTCGCCACCACTGAATTGTTCTTATGTTCTTGTTATTTTCTTCTCAACTCACCTTTGATAATTCCGTGATCAAAGGTGCTCGCACAGCGACTCGTATCATATAAACATGAATTTTTTGGCTCTTTACCCTAATATTTATTGCCTCCCTTGTATATTGCAAACAACATAAATATCTCCACTTGATTTTCCTAATGATGACCTCAAAGCTGAAATCTGAAAGTATACAGAGAAAGAAATTGTAAATCAATACGGCAGGTATGCTTGTTTTTGAGTATCCTTATGTCACTTTCAGGAAGGAAAAAACCACAATTGATACTGCTAGATCATGGTTTATACAAAGATCTTGATTTTCAAACCAGGACGAATTATGCAGCCCTTTGGAAGGTGCCCTTCATGCTGATTCCTGAAGTTATCTTACTTTTATTGTCTTGATCTTTATCTATGACACATGTTTCTACTTCCAGGCTCTAGTTTTTGCTGATGTTAAGGCAATTAAAGAATACAGTGTAAAGCTTGGTGCTGGTGAGGATCTATATGTTTTATTTGCTGGAATACTTACAATGAGGCCATGGAACAGAATCATTAATCCTTCTGTGGATCACTTGGTTTTGGAAGGGTCAAATGACAATCGTTCAGAGCTGCAGGTATCTCTCCAATATCTACTAGGGATATTTCTGAATATGCAAAAAATTTGAATTGTGATCTTCACACTCTTTAGGGCTTGTTTGGTACAATGATAAAGGGCATTAAAGTTTATCTGGTAAAGTTTCTTTCGACTTCGTCAATATTTGGTATCATGTTAAACTTTCACCAAGGTTAAAAGTTTAACATATGAGATAAACTTTTACCAGGTGGTTGTAAGGGGGTATGATAAGAAGGGGTGAAAGTTTAAGCTTGGTTTATTTGGCCATGTGGAATTACAAACAATCCTCAACAAAGTTTTAGAACTTTCAAAAAGCTTCCTAAAGTAATAAATATTCCCTGTAAACTATAAAACTACAAATAACCTCCTCACAGATTCTAAAACTATAAAAAACACCTCGTAAAAAGTTAAAAAAATTACAAAACACCCTCAAAAAAAATTACAAAACACCCTCAAACATTCGGACTTACACCTTAAAAATTCAGAACCTGTAGACTAGCGCCTGAAAGTTTATGAAATTTGCAGAAAACACCCTGAAGGCTTTGAAAATTGCCAAAACACTCTTGTAATTCAAAATTTTCAAAACAACCAGAAAATTCTAAACCTACAAACAATTCACTGTAAATCTATGACTAACAAACAGCCCCTTGAAAAAAATGTGGAATTTGCTGAAAACACCTTGAATGTTCTATAAATTACAAAAAACACCCTAAAAATTCAAAATTTATAGAAAGCACCCTGAGAATTTTAAGCCTACAAAAAGTACACTGAAAATATATAAATTAGAAAACCCTCTAATCAATTTTGGATTTGCAGAAAAAACCCTAAAAGTTTTAAAAACCGCAAAAAACACCCTCAAAATTCAAATTTAAAAAAACACCCAAAAATTTCAAACTTGCAACCAGTACACTAAAAATATATGAAATTCAAAATTTCAAATAGCCCTCTAAAACGATTATGATTTTGCAGAAAACAATCTAAAAGTTTCAAAATTAAAAAAAACAACCTAAAGATCCAAATTTTTCAAAAAAAACCTGCAATGGTCAAATCTACGAACAATAGACTGGAAAATCTATAAATTTGAAATTTGCTAATAAAAACCCTAAATGATTAGAAAATTGCAAAAAACCCCTCAAAAATCAAAATTTACGGAAAACCTGATTCTAAGTTTTTATCTTTCCGGGGTGTTTTTGTAAATTACAAAAAATTTTAAAGGGGTCTGTTTGTCACTCCTAAATTTTCAGTGTATTATTTGTAGAATTGAAATCTTTTAGATGATTTTCATTAAATTTGAATTTCTACGGGTGTTTTTGCGATTTTTAAAACTTTCAAGGTGCTTTATGCAAATTCCAAATTTTTAGGGGGTTGTTTGTAATTCCTTTATTTTGAGTATATAGTTTGTTGGTTCGAAATTTTTAGGGTGTTTTTGTAAATTTTTTAACTTTAGGGTGTTTTTTGCAATTCTCAAAACTTCTGGGTGTTTTCTAAAAGTTTGAGATTTCTAGTGTTCTTTGTATGGTTTGAACTTTTCAGGTTGTTTTTAAATTTTATATTTATTGAGGATGTCTTTTGTAGTTTCAGAATTGTTCGTAATTTTCTATTTGTTAGAGGATGCTTTTTGTTATTTCAAATTGTGCAGGAGGCTTTTTGTAATTTTGAGTTGTGCAGGAGGCTTTTTATAATTGACAGATTTTAGGTTGTTTGTAAGTTTAATTTTTTAGGGGGCTTTTAGTAAGTTTGGAATTTTAGGATAGGGTTGGCTTCATGATATTGCAACGACTAAAGTTGTTGCAAAAGTATGTTAGTTCATCAAATATTCCTCCTTGCAACATTTGGCTTATTTAATATTATACTAGTAAATGCACGTGCTTTGCGCGTAAACATACATGTAAGTTTGAACTTTTTATTGAATGGTAAAATTATGTGTTAATAAGTAAAATTGTATAATAAGATTGCTTAAAAGAAATGTATGAATTAATTATTATTGTGTAGCTATTGTAATTGAATGTTTTTCTTATAATGATTGCTTATTGCTAACCTTTTCTTAAATAAGTCTCCAAATCAGCAATTATTCTTAAATAAGTCTGTCAAATCTATATGTTCTCTTAAATGCTCCTTTAGCTTGAAAGTTGTTAACTCTAAATGAACTAAGCTACATTGCTCTTGCTAGCTTTTTCGTAATGTCCCTTAGATAGTTACACTAAACCCTTATGAATTTTTAGCCTCTATGAACTTTCAAAATCACACTAAAGTCCTAATAATTTTTCTGTTTCAAAGAAAATCTATAATAACTTTCTAATTTTTACAGATAACTTCTATAAAATAGAAACATAAAAGACATTTTGAAAGTTATTAGGGGTGGTGTAATTTATCTAAAAGATGTTGGAGGCATTCTATAAAAGTTGTTTGGGATTTAGTGTGATTTTAAAAGTTTATAGAGTCTATTAATTGGAAAATGCAAAAAGTTCATGGGGGTTTACTGTAATTTTCCTTATTTAATATTATAATTCTTAGTTCATACAATACTATTAAAATAATTATATTACCTATATACTATAAAATCTTTATCTAATTTAATTTTTTTAATTATGCTCTTAAAAAATATAGTTTTATAAAATCTTTACCTATATACTATTATTTTAATTATTTTATTATAATTCATAAATAATTATAATAATAATAATTTAATTGGTTACTATTAATAATTGTGTATACTTATTTTATAAATTATTTTATTATATTGTTGTTGAACAATTAATAGTTATAATATTATTGATAATTATAATTATTTAGGAAGGTGAGGAGGTGCATAATTAATAAGTGGTTATATTTATTTAATGAAAGATTAATTAGAGATAATGACATAATTAGAAGTTATCAAAATTTGAGAGGGTAAAAAAGGAATTTAAAAGTTTTAACACCCCAATTCCCTTTTTATAGTGGTATAGTTATAGATGTAGATGTATATTGGCTAACAAATGTAACTATTATCTAGGTTTTGCATCCCTTATTCCATAATGTTTAGTGGTTTCTTGTTTTCTTTACAGATGTATGCTTCCCAATATTTTCCACAAATCTCAGAGTTGCTAAGGAGATTACCACGTGTAATCTTGTTACTGCTTAAAACAAACGATTGTTTACGAGCCGTCAGTCACACACTGGTAAGTTGCATGCTTTTTGCACATAAGCAAATAGAATGCCAATATTGCATGCATGATGTCAAAGGATGGATAGGGAGAAATATGGATGCAAATATTTATAAGGCCATAAAAGTCAATAAATTTATTCATCTTTTGCTACAACCTACACCTGGTACTTTCTATAAAAGCTTTAATGTAGCAATAGATTGGCGATATCTTGCATAAATTTATGTCTTCCAAGTGCCATTGTAGTGCGTATGTCTCCTAAAGCAACAGAATGGTTTTATCTTTTTCTTAATACAACCTGCGCCGAATACTCTTTATGTAAAGGCATTAGTATGGCAATGGAACGGTGGTATTTTGCACAAATTTATGTCTCAGAAGTGAATCGGGGAGTCTTATGTCCTGCATCACTTACTATATCGTTTCCTCAAGTGTTTGTACAAATAAAATGTTTTCACTTTTCAGTTTAGATTCCTTTTCTTCCCTTGGAAAATTCCACCTTAGATGCCTTCTTGTGGACTATTTTGACAGTTGAAAGGGCCTTGTGTTGAAACCTTTTTGATTACTGCACGAGTCTCATCTGAAGTCGCTGCGGAGAGCAAAAACCTAGAGCAGAAGAGGGCTATATTGTCAGGGCTAAGCAGGTTATGGGAGCGGATGCTGCTTGAAGCTCGGTTTTTTCGCATGAGAATGGCTTTGTGGGTTCTACAGTTTAGAAAGGCGTTGTCTGGATGAAAGCTCAAAGCTGGGAGTCACATGGTTATCTTCTGTGCATACATCTTATTCTTGCTCCTCTCAGATTTATATTATGCTGTGTGATAGTTGGTACCTTGCTGTAATCAATTTATTTTACATTTCATGCATATTCATCTTTCCATGACTTTTGGATCAATTGATCGACTCAGGAAGTAAGATATTAAATAAAAATCTCACATTCTTATTCTTATTGTGTTGTATGGGCCTTATGGACGGAAGATATGTCATCTTGCGTTGCGGGTATTCTTGACTGGTGGCGTGG